GGTATGTGAAAGGGTCAACGAAAACAGGGCGCCACCTGGTGGTGGAGGGAGAAAACACAAACAAAAACAAAACCCGCACAGAACTGGATTCCTAACAGTCCCATATCCTTAATTAATGTGGATACACTCAAAAAAAGCAAACTGGGTGTCTGTTACCTTATCTTATGTCTAACATGTAGCTTCTACTATATAAAATCATGTTTTGTGGTTGAACAGTTTTAAAACATGTAGATTTAGCATAAAATGCAACAATTTAAAATTTACTTGAATAATTTATGTTAAAACAACCTAATTCTAATGGGTTAAGATTGCAAATCAGTAACACTCCAAAACAGTAGGTGGCAGTAATGAGCCCACCTCCCTCTCTTGAAGGCCACGGTCAAAGGTGAGTGAGTCCCCGACTCTGACTGGCAAAGACGAGCAGACATTTTGAAAAGAAATTTCACGTGTGGAAGAAGGTAAGTTTAATCTTTTATCATCCATCTAACAGAAAACAATACGGCAGCAGACAAGTTATAGACAGTTATTTATTGTCCTCTTTTGCATTTTGGATTATTTATTTATTTTTGTTACGGGGCGTTTTATTAGAGTGCATTAATATATCAGACTGTTGCCATGCTCATAGCTAACTAAGCTTACAAGCTATCATCCTGAGGTTGACGGCACGGTTGACAACGCGTGCGGATTCATTTACAAAATGAGCTAAGAGGCATGGCTTGTGGGGGATAATTGCCTGCGTTTGGTGAATGTAGCTGAGCTAAAAGGCTCCAGTCACATAGGCTACATGAATAATAGTGGTGATAAATTTTCCCCCAATCCGCATCTTGGCTTCGTGTGGAGTCCGCAGAAAGCTCAGCACTTAACAGTCATTAGCTCTAAGTTTGGAAACTACCACGGCACCTTGGCGGGTTTTCTATGTCAGCTCCACGTAGCATTAGCTCATCCAGCTAGTAACGTCAACACAGTAGTTCTTCGCGCTATGGAGCTTTCCACAGTCAGATTTTATTCACTTTGTTGACGAGGGAACAAATGTGTACTACCATAAATGTACTGTTGTGCTGTAGTCCAGCTGGGGAAGCAAATCGTTACCATATTTCAAATGAAAAA